ATAATGCCCGTCTGGCAAGCTCAAGGTCCTGAGTTCAATTCTCATTATCAAAATAAAATTGCTAAAACAATGCATGGTAGAAGTTTGAAAATGGGGCAAAGAACAAATCTTAATTCACAGGACCTAAGAAAACAGAAAATAGATTTTTTTTAAAGGTAGCAAAAGGAACAATCCAAGAAGTTCAACTCTGACTAGCTGAGAAATTCATAAATAATAGTAGCAACTACAAGGAAAAGTTTAATCAATAGAATGTCCCAGAGAGGAGAAAAAATAAACATCTTCAAGTTGAAGGTTTCTACTGAGTATCCAGTATGATAGAGATAAAATTAAATAAATTAATGTGAAATTTCAGAAAGCCATGAATCAAGACAAGATTTTAACAGTACCCAAAAATAAATAATACAGCAGGAAAACCCCCAAAGGCAGAAGAATTCATCTGGCAAAAGATTTTTCCATAAGCAACACTTTAATTAGGAGCACTGACTCCCATAACGTCCCAGGAGACAACACAGTAACGTTTTCCAAGCTGGGAGCTGGGATCTTCAACCTGGAATCCTGAATCCACCACAAAATGTGTAAGAAGGAAGAGCACATTTCAAATACACAGTAAGAAAATTCACCTCCCGTGCCCCCTTTCTTAAGAGATTATCTGAGTACTTCTCAAGTATTTAACTTCTTTAAGCACTTACTCATGAGGAACAAACCAAGAAAAGTAAACTATGTTTCTTTTTTCTTTTACTGGGAATCAAACTTGTGGCCATGCCTACACCATGGAGCTAAATCCCCAGCCAAAACTATGTTCTTGAGAAAATAAACTAAGAAAGGAATAAGTAAGCCACTGGAAATAATGAATTTGTAATAACAGAATGAGGGAAAATGTTAGGCCCAGAAAGCAACAAGCATTGGAACCAGCAGGTAGGGTACAACAGCAGAGAAATGTATGAGACAGTGTAATGAGCCTTGGAAAGTGAGCCTTGTGTAGATAATGAAGGCCCAACATTCAATGCTGCAAAGCAACTCCAAACTTAGGGAAGAGGAAGTCATTATCTAAATACTAAAAAGGTCATATAGAAACACCAACAAAAATCAGTCCATCAGAATACAGGATCATTGAGATTCAAGAAAAAAATGGAACACATGTCAAAGAAAGTATAAAAAGCTGGGTATCTTGAAGCATATAATGGCATTATATATATGCATATATATATATATATATATATATATATATATATCATCCCAAAGAGGCAGGCCATCATAAACTTCAAAGAAAACAACAAACACACAACATGCAAAGGACAAATTAAAACAATGCATGATTTTGTGTAATGCTGTACTCATTTAAAATAGTAACCAATAGGGGTGGTTGTAGCTCAGTGGTAGGACATCTGCCTTGCAAGCGCAAAGCTCTCAGTTGGATCCCTGATGATTGGACCCTCTCTTCAATTTGATCCCTGAAGAGAGAACAGGAAGGAGTCTCATAGAGGAAAGTAGATGTAGGGTATACAAGAGCTCTGTGATTTTCTCCAAATATAGAATAATTCTGTAATAAAACTTTATTTTTAAAAAGTATATCGGTAACAGTTGAGAAGAAGAAGAAATAATAAGCTGTTAATGCTTCATCTTCCACATACAAGTGCAGTCTGGGCTAATGAAGCAAGAAATGGAGGGTAAGTCTTATATAAAACTGCGCCACTGACTGTCAGAGGACAGAAGACAGTGGCAAAACTACAGTGAAACAGAGCAGTGACACGTGGCATATCCATAAACGAACTTGTTTGCAACTGACAAGCAAAAACCTGGCACTCTAGGAAAGCTTTTAGGCTTTTTGGTGTTTTAGGAGGGTTTTTATTTTATTTTGTTACTTTTGGCTTTTAAGAAAGCTTGACTTCAAGGAAAGAGACAGGAAGTGAGGATAGGAGAGACGTCTATGGGCCTGGGATATAGCTCAGCAACACAGTACTTGCCAGCAAGTGTGAGTTTGTTCCCCAATACCCGAAAGAAAAAAAAAGAGGGATGTCTACACCTCCTCACGGCATTTTTTTTGTTGTTGTTACATGCATCCATTGCTTCGATTAAAAGTTTCAGTATGGAATTTTTTAAAATTCTTTAACCTTTCTAGTTTACATCAAGGCATGTATGGAAACAGGGCCCACTGCAAATATTATAATTCCAAAAGGGTGGAGAGCTTATATGTTAAAATATAAAGAAGTCCCCTTGAGAATTTCATAAATCAGACCAATACTAACAGAGACTAATTTCTCAGAAAGGACATAAACTTTTATTAATATAGAAACACGGATTATAAGATATAAACGTTTGAAGGAAGCTGTCAAATGAATCCATATAACCCAAGCTGCTGGACAATGTAATTGTATGTGATGGCTCACGCCTGTAACTCCAGCACTTGGGCAGCTGAGACAGGAGGATCCCTGCAAGTTTGAAACCAGCCTGAGCTACATAGTGAATTCAAATCTAGCCTACGCTATGTAGTGAGACCCTTTCTCAAAAAGAAAGAAGAAAGAAAGAAAGAAAGAAAGAAAACCAAGCATACAGAATTCTATGACTCCTGAAAGTGGAAGAAGAAACTCTGAGAACCCCATGACTCTACACCTTACCGTCAGCTAATGAAACTCCAGCGTAATAATGGTGAATGATAGCTGAAGTTGTATTTGGTGACCATGACAGGGAAAGGGATGTGTATGACAGCAGTGTCACAAAGGATGGGATTAATTGGGAATATTGTTTTTAAGGTACCTGTACCACACGCAAAGCAGACATAGTGTTATTTGAAGTGGATTTAATTTGGTTTTTAAAATAGGCCGTATACTTTACACTACATACTGTAGTTTAAAGGTTTTTAAGAATGGTGTGGTGACGCAAGTCTGTAATTCCAGTGCTAAGTCAGTTGAGACAGGAAGATCACTGAGAGTTCAAGACCAGCCTGAAGTATATAGTAAAACCCTGCCTTGAAAAACAAAACAAATGTTTTAAGAATTTTTACTGATATTCTGAGATGAGACAAAATGGAATTTCATAAGTTGCTCAAAGAATGCAGAAGCAGATACTCTTGGTAATGGTTACAAAACATAGTTGATGTGAATTGAAATAATGTTAATATAGCAATTAAGGACATAAATTTTCTGGAAAATCTTTTAAAAGATCTGATTACATGCTACTGGGCCAGAGACTTAGCCCAGTGGCATAAGTGCCAGATTGGCAAGCACAACGTCATGAGCTCGATCCCCCATACCAAAAAACAAAACAAACAAACCAAAAAAATCCAAGTACATACTACCTACAACTTACTTTACATACAAAAGACTCCAAAGGTTGACAATGAAAGGACAGAGGCAGTTATTCCAGTGGTGGCACCTATGACACATGTGCCCCCGTGAGTTACTAGCTATCACTGAGAGTTCCAAAAGGTTTGCCACCATTGTTATGTACTAACATTGATCAAAAGAAAGCTTGGGTAACTCATTAATTTCAGGCAAATAAGACTCAGAACAAGGAAATTTATAAGAGTAAAAAAAGACGCTACATAATGACTACAGAGTCAGCTCCCAAGGAACATGAGTTCAGCTAAAAATGTAATGTCAAAGTACATAAGGCAAAAACTGAGAACCAAAGGGAGAAGAAGACAAGTCCACATTACAGTTGGGGAACTCCAAATCCTCTGTCAATAACTGATAGAGAAACCAGGCAGAAAAAATCCACAAAGATAGTTCGCTCAAAAATCACTATGAACCCCGTGGACATTTATAGCACATTATATTCAACAACAGAATACACAGTCTTCTCAAGCAGCAAAAGCAGTGATGGGTCATTCACCAAGACAGACCACCAAACACACCTGAGCAAATTTAAAAGAAATACAAAGTAAGTAACTCTAAATTAACAATGTCAATTACTTGAACACAAATAACCCTACACTGGGGAAAGTTGCTTTACCATCCTGACGTATCTTAACGGACACATTCCAGAAAGAATAACAATTTCTTTCCTTTCATTGTTTGTTCAAAACACACCTTCTGATCTCTTCTGTCTGATAATTGTCTTCTCATTCTCAGCCCAAACTTAAACACTGAAAACTTTAAGACACTATAATGAAGCCATAAACAAAGTGAACCAAGTCAGGCTCCATAGAAGCTCCAGGTGTGGCCCAGGCCTGGAACCCCAGAGCTCAGAAGGTTGACACAGGAAGGTCACGTCCAGTTCAGTGCCAATCTAAATTATATAGCAAAACTATATCTCAAAAAATCCATAGATAAATGCAATATTTATGGCATAAAGGATTGTATAAATGATTGTATAAGTAAGTAAGATAACATGCACATATTTATTCTTGAATCTTTATTCCCATTCAGCAACTAAAGTCGTGGTTGTTTCTATTCCTAGATACTTATTTTGATCTTTTGATTTTTGTTTTTCTTAGTATATGTTTGCAGTGCATAGTAATTACCTTCATCTTGGGGATTTGGTACATATACATTCCATATCTTAACCATTTTTACTTCACCAAAAAAATGAGTGGAGTATAAGTTGTTTTACATACTTACAGAGTAAGGAAATATAAGCAAGCCAAGAGCACATACGTGATTTGGCTGAGGCTAAGTCAAAACATAACTGAAACCTAGAAGTAAAACGCTCCCTTTAACCTGGCTCTTTCCCTCCGTGTTGGTATCGACCATGAGGACAATGGAGACAGGACTTGTCCCGCCTGCTGACCACCAGCCCCCTGTGTAAGTAGAACTCTGAGACCGAGAGTTCCAGCCTCCCGTTTCCAAGCGATGGCGCGATCCTGACAGTTGACTGCCCTGGCCGCAAGCTGTTCAGCAGAGGTGGCGGAGCGCCATACCCTTGCCACGTTTCTTCTGTGCCTAGTACACGGTTGGCGCAGTTGTAGGCTTTTTACGTGAACTGACTCACTGAGTCATCAGCACAACACTGTGAGGCAGACACTACGGTTTCCTTTCGGGGAGCCCTTAGAAGAGGGTAAGAAACTGGCCCAAGGTTGCACAACGCAGAACTTCCTGAATTCTGAATCCTGGACTCAAGCTTCCTGTCTGCTGGAGAGGACTGTCCAGGGACCAAAGAGAAGCGGCTCCCGCGCCGAGGGAGGAGAGCGCGAGCTGCGTGGTGACGGGGACGCGGGCTCCGCGGACCGCAGTGTCCTGGGAACGCAGCCGGGTGGCTGCGCCTGCCGAGCCCGGGAGCTGAAGGACAATCGCACAGACCACCCGCGAGCCTCAAATCTTGCATCGTGCCCAGCTGCCTGGAGTCACAAGACGCGAGCGCCAGAGGGGACGAATTCCCAGGAGCGCGGTCCGGGGCGCGCCGCGGCGGGTCGCTGTTCTGGTGCTGAAGCTCGGCGCCGCGGGAGCTGTCCGGTGCTGAACACGGATGCGGCCGGGCCGCGAGGCTCAGAGCCGAGCCTGCAGCAGCCAGCGAGCGGGCCGGACCAGCTTCTGAGAGCTCCGACGAGAGCGCGCAGAGGGCAGGGAGCGGGGACTCCCAGCTGGGCATGGACCTGCAGGGACTCGACTCCTACCAGGGGGGACCTGGCTGCGACTTCAACGAGCACGTGCTGCATAAGGTAAACCCCCTCTCGGCCCACCCCACGCTGGGAGAGGACAGCGTCGCCAGGTCCCTCCACTACTCCCCGACTTTGCTTTGGGACGCTCGTGTGCGTCTGGGCCTGGGGCATCCTCTCCCTTTGATTCTGTTTACTGCGCTAGCGCTGGGGGAGGGCGCCACCCTAGGCGCAGGTCCTCCTGCGCTGCTTTCATTCAGTTAAATCCCCGGGTCCTCTCCTCGCTCGCTCGTCGCCTCCTGCCCCTGAAGGTTTGAACTCTGCAGCTACGGACCTCGGCTCCCCTAACCCTTGCGGGAGACTGCGGGTGGCCGCCTCACCCGTGACTCACAAGCTCTGGCCCCATTAGGTCTGGCAGCAGTGGTCAGAGATCCGCGTTCCTGGCCAGCTGCTGTGCACAGAGAGGAATTGTTGTATTCAAGCCGTACTTTCTCGTGGCTCCAGAAAGCTGTCTCTGAGCCATGAGTCACGCGCAGCTTTCTGAATTGCTTCGTGTTTCAAGGCCGCAACACATCTGTTGCTCTCCTCATTCAGGTCTCTTACGCAGCTGCTTTTCAGCCATGGGGGTCTCCCCCAGAAGTGACGTGGGGGGGGGGATAGCGGCTTCTTTCTAGGTAACGCATCTTAATCCAACATTTATCACTTTGAAACCATGGACCTATATTCCCCATGAGAAATTATTATTGCTCCTGACATGACCCTGCCCTCATGCTCTGATCCTCACATTCTGCGCCTCTCCAACTTCGTGTCAGTTGTCTGTTAGTCCCCAGCAAGGCTCTACATGGACCTATGATTGAAGACTTTAGTAGAAATATTAGTCTGAAAAGTCTATCAGTGCAAGTTTTGGAATACCTTGATTCACCACCTCCCTCTGATACAGAATTTATATTTGAAAAATTAAACTCCAAGAACACAAGCTAGTAAATGCAGAGCTCACACTAAACTGTGAGCTGTAGTTCTGAGCCCAGTCTCCACTTCTCTATGTCCTTTCTAATCTTCTCCTCAAAAAGTTGTTAGAAAGTAGATTCTCAGGCCCCAGCCTGAACCCATTTCTACTGAACCTGCATTTTTACAGATTCCTGGGAAATAAATATGCACAGTAACATTTTAGATGTATTGCTCTGTGCCAGGCTGGCTATTTCTGGCAAATGAAAGAAAATCAGCTATATTGAAGAAAGCAAGCCTATAGGCTTGAAGTGTTTACATCTTTTTCTGCATCTCTGAATTCCTAAGATATAAAGAAGCAGAAAAGTGTGTAACAACTTCCTCATCATAGTTCAAACCACAATAAGATCTGTGTTTTTTGAAGCTGAGAATCTAGCCTTCAAAACAGCCCATGCAAGCAAAGGAACAAATTACAGATCAATTACAAAAGTCTTCCTGGTAGCTAGATATACAGGCATCTCTAACTTTAAACTATCTTATAAAAGTTAAAATCTTTATTTTGAAAGCTTCAGGATAAGGAGGTCATATGTTTCAAATTATTGATCCAGATATGGTCTTTCCTACTTTGATTATCTTTGATTAGGTATAAGATGAAGTTCATTAAATCTTTTGTTTCCTTTGGGTTTATTGATAGAGAGAGAGAAAGAGAGAGAGAGAGAGAGAGAGAGAGAGAGAGAGAGAGAGACAGAGACAGAGACAGAGAGACAGAGAGAGACAGAGAGATTCAGAGAGAGAGAGAAATTTGTTTCAACAAGTTCCGATATATCTGAAGACAAGTGTCCACTTACTACAATAAATAAAGAAATGTTTGGTTTCTTCAGGTGAAGAGCTACATTTAAACCTTCTATGGTGCCCAGCAGAATGACCCATATGTGCAAGAAAACTTTTTGTTATATAATGCTGATGATCCCCTCCTAGAATTAGTCTATAATTGTGCGTGACTCTTTATTATGATCCACTTAGGATATTTTTATAAGGGGCAGGGCATCAATATATTTGTATTAATTTTTAGTTTGATATAGAGTCAAAAGAATTTCTATTGACTCACTACAGTATATTGGCCATGATAGGGGAGAGCCCTCTTCGTTGCTAAAAAAAAAAAAGGATTTTTTTAAAAAACCTCTCTGCTCTCCTCTCTTATTCCTCCTCCTTCACCTTCACAGAGGAAGAAGCATCCCCTAAGGTTTGGATAGGGCAGGTAGATTTTATGGAGGATAGTCCTAAAATATTGCCAGAGAAGAAACATTGCATTATGATGAGAAGAAACCTCAGGCTTGAAATCATTTAGTCCTTGATGTGGCTTTGAGCAACATCTGTGACCTTTGCTTTTCTCAAATCATGAAATAGAAAAAAAACACCTGGCTTGTCATTCTCTGAGTGAAGATATCAGATACTGTAATGTCAATCACACATATAATATCTGTGAAATAGGAAGCACTTATCAAAGAATTGTTGTTGGGGCATTCAGTTTGGTCTCAGAGGCAAAGGTCAGCAGGTCTTACTTTATGATGAAACTTTATGAGAACAGCAGCAGTTTGACACAGAGAAAGCTCAAAAGCACACATATTCCACAGGCAAAATTCTATTGAAATCAGATCTCCAGTTCCCCTACACAAAAAATACGACTTCTATGTAAATGTCCCAACCCTGACATGCAGGTCAACTGTCTCCTTTCTCAGGGAGGTAAGATATGGCGCAGATGAAACCTCCCATGAGATCCACTCACATGAAGAGATATGTTAAACACCACTGGCATGGGGTGGCACTTGCAGGTTAGCTCTCCCCAACTGTTGGAACCTGACCCAGAGGAGTCTGAACAACCCTTAGGAAATACTTGAAGTTTGGGCTGGATCCTGAAAGCTACAAGGGAACACTGGCTTCATCCATCACATGCTTGGAGCTTTTAAATAGAGTAGCTGTTTGCAAAAATCTGAATATTTGATGCAACTAAATAATTTAAAGCACGTAAGCAATTGTGCCGCTCTTTGCCTCGGAGAACTTTCTGGCCTGCCTTGCTGCCAGTACAGCCTGGGGAGTCACTGAGGGCAGCAAGGCCAGTTTGAAGCTCAGGAGCAGCCTGTGTTTGGATTCTTGCTGTGCTGCGTCTGACCTTGAGCTCTGGGGAAATGAACACAAAGAGCAAGGTTTTGCCCTGGCTGCAGTGAGTGAGGACAAAAGGACTTCTGTTCAAGTGCTTCCTTCCCCAGCATTCTATGACATCCACACGTCACGCTTCTCCGAGAGGAGCAGAGTCAGTTTCCTCTGCAGCATCTCAGACGGACTAGGGTTCAGAAAGCCATGGGGTGTCCCTCCACTGATCCAACTTGGTCCTTGTTGAATACAAGGAATTAGTGACAGGTAGAGGTGAAAGGTCTCTGTCTTTCAAAGTGTTTCCATTTCTTCTGAGTCTGCTGCAACACTTCCTATAGGGGAAGAGCAAAGCGAGCAGGGAATCCTTCCCACATTCCCTCCTCCTGTCTTGTACCTGTCACTTCAGTTGCTTCTTCTACTGTTCACCTTGGGATCACTGCATCTCTCCATGCTCCACCTGCCTCAATTATTCACTCAGCAAACATCAACTGAGCATTTCCAGATCATAACTAATTATGCTGGACATCATAGAGAATAGACACGAAGTTGTTTCTTCCTTTAGCAAGATTGTGGCCTTAAAGCACACACACACACACACACACACACACACACACATACACACACATTGCTGTAATACTCTACGTGTAGTCTCTGAAATGCCCTAAGAAAGGGAAGATGAGGTGGGATGACCGAAGAACAAGAGGTCACACTCATGGTCTCAGTTTGAAATGTTCTTTCACGCTGATGGCCACTGATTAAAGTTCAGTTTAAGAGAGACAGAGTTCCACACACCAGTGGCCTCCCACTTCACTCCCATGGGGCTGACCCTACCAAAGGCTCTGGATGCAAACCATTCTTCTTCCCTCCGTAGGAAGTTTGTGAGTAAGGTCAAATAAACCAGCAAAAGGCCACGCCCACCGCCTGTTTCCCTCTACAACTGCATCTCTCAGGGATCATTTTCTGAGTATGCGATATTAATGGTTGTAGTGCAAACATCCAAACCCATGGGCAGAGATGTGCCCTAAGTAGAAGAGTTTTAAGTTATGCTTGTGGCCTGCAGTTATGCAGATTATTTCCATCTTCAACTCAGGAAGAAACTAGAAAGCCAAGAAAAACTAGATGCTCCCTGCAATGGTCCCATTTTCATGTTTACCTCTTTAACTTGCTCTGAAGGCTATGGATAAATAAATGACGTATATATGACATCACTGGCAGGCTGGAGCCATCTGGGACTCCTCCGACTAAGTGGCCAGCCCTGCCCTGTTGCCAGCTGCCTTGGGGAGAGGAACTGGCTGGTTCCTGGGGATAAGTTTAACAGGAAATGATGGTGACTCAGCCCAGCATCTCAGACATTTTCCAAAATCCCCAGGCTTTCCTCCCCTGAGCACTCTGTCCTTTAATTTGGAGTCCTTGAGATATTTTTGAGGCAATGTCTGAGACTCACTAAGTTGGAAGCTGACATTTCCCCCTGCAAGCTGTTCTGGGGAGAAGTTTGGGCTTCCTCCATTGTTAGGGCAGGAAACTCGGCTCTGCTGGAATAAACAGTAAGATCCAGGCTGAGCACTGTTGAAATGGACCCGTGAAGTGGCTCTACACATATCTCAACATGCTCTCTGCTTCCTTCCTCACTCTTCTCAGGCAACAAAAACAATCCCTGGAGACGCAGGTGAAAATGGAAATCACAGCTCTTTTGCTAACTTGCAAGTGTATGTATGTGGAGGGTCACAGCTCCCCCACTACAACCAGCCCTAGAACATTCTCTCATTTGCCAAGCAAAGGAATTTTTCGGGACCAAGTGAGAGAACTTCAAGCCAGCAGCAAATCACAGATCTGGAAACCTCAACCCCCAAGTGATTGCGCTAATCGGAGCCTGCTCACACCACAGCCTGCTCCTGAAGGGCGCATCTCTCCATGCTCCACCTGCCTCAATTATTCACTCAGCAAACATCAACTGAGTGGTACTGAGG